TGTAATATTTATCGTCAATTGCAAAGGTTGAGCGATAATAAAGCCCAAACTACTTTAACAATACGCGCACTACGATTTTTTTATTTTCTTGATTGTTGTCAATTTTAGTATCCTTTGATATAAGAATAGCCTTTGATATTCAATCGCTTAGAGAATTTGCGATTCTTCAAAGGGAAAAAATATATCTTGTTCAGTCGCATTTTCGCTCGTTTGTTTTTGCACGTTAATAACAGAGCGAGACTATTGATCTCGAATGCAGCTATGGCGAGGTAATAATTTCCACAAAGTGATCGAACGAGGAAAAACCTGTATGACCTGTATCGAACACCCATTGACTTTTGCTCCTCGCCAGCTGTTAAGCCAGCTTAATCGGAAAAGCTCCCCTGAAAATTACCGAACGTGTCTTCTTCTTTCAGGCGTGTCTGGTGGAGAATACCAGCCGCGAAGCGTGTTGTGCTTAACGGCACTATTAGAATAGTAGACTAGTTAGAGCTTTAATTATCTGCTAATTGGATTCCGGGATTCGTTGGGAAATCCGGGGATTCCAGAAGGGACTTTAAGCAGCCATGGGGAAGCAAAACAGCAAGCTAAAGCCGGAGGTGCTGGAAGACCTCAAACAGAATACGGAATTTTCAGGTGTGCCGCTTTGTACAGATAACTAAGAGCCGGAATCTTCCGACGTGCTATTTAGTATTAATATTACGTAATAATATATGTACATAATGAAGTGTAGAGTGATCGAGTTTTCGTAGAGATAAATTAAACAAGAAACTTCTCCAGAAATAGAATAAATACAGCTTGTGCGTATATGGACATTTTTATTTAACGATATTTCTGCCCAGAGCATGTCGGAAGATTAAATATGTATTCGTCAACATATGAAATTCGACGTTATCAATAAATATTTACCTTGCGAATTTACATCTGGAGCGTATGAATAACGCTAGCGCAGTCGGGTACGAGTAATATTTTATCTTTCCTTTTGAAGATGCGGAGATCCAGGAGTGGTACAAAGGATTCTTAAAGGATTGTCCCAGCGGGCACCTCAGCGTGGAGGAATTCAAGAAGATTTACGGGAATTTCTTTCCCTACGGCGATGCGTCAAAGGTAAATGGGAAAAAGTCCCGGATGAGAGACGTGCGAGTGTAATCGATAAGTTCATTAACATACCGCCTGTCGTGCGTCTGTGTGTGTGTACGCGCGCGCGCGCGCGCGCGCGTGTGTGTGTGTGTGTGTGTGTGTGTGGGACCCCGTGCAAAGTTATTATTCATTCTTCAAAATTTATCATGTGACTTTTCGTAGTTCGCGGAGCACGTATTTAGGACATTCGATGCGAACGGCGACGGTACGATCGATTTTCGGGAATTTCTCTGCGCTCTCAGCGTTACGTCCCGCGGCAAATTGGAGCAGAAGTTAAAGTGGGCCTTCAGCATGTACGACCTGGATGGCAATGGTTACATCTCGCGACAAGAAATGCTGGAAATCGTGACGGTACGTACCGAGATATAAAACCGACTTGCGAGTTCAATAGGGCGAGAAGTCGAGGTATAAATTGATGTAATAAATTTACTTAAAATTACTGAGCTTAATGAATATATTAGTCGACGATAAGTCACTGCTTCCACGTTTTATTGACCCTCTAGTTTTCTCAATTATAACATTTTGCTAGTATTTTAATAGCTTTTAATAAAAGAGATAATTTGGAAAATATCTATGAGCTCAAAGATTTTTTATAAAATTACACTGCTCTGAGATATTTAAAAAGATTTTCGTTTGATTTCTGATAAGAAAAATTGACTTTGCATTTGCATACTTGTAATATACAAGAAAGAAAATAGCGTGAGATAACTTGTGCATACAATATTACATATTTGCTGTCTAATAAATTATTTTCAGTATAATTATATTACTAAAATTACTTAATTCCTAATCCATTATTGTACATACATGTAGTGTTTGTTATTTATATATAAAATTATTTAGATAATTCTAAAAAAACAGCTTTATCTTATCTTTCTCTAAAATATATATTATCTTTATCTTAGATAAGAAGTGTCATCGTTTATTCATCGCAAATTATCCAAGTTAACGTCAGTTGCAAAAATCAGAGACTAATTGATGCCAGTTAAGTAATTACGAAGTTTTTATATAAATATGAATCCCAGTTTTAGATTTAAGTCGTATTGAATATTTTTTAACGAACATTATTCAAAAAGCGGTCGTACTGGCATATGTGACTAGAATAATATAAATTTATATCAAGAACATGCATTAATTACGTACATTCTCATTTATGTTATCTAACCAAGAAGTAATAAAAGTTTTATAAAGATATTGTTTTTTGTATGCCTTAACAGTGACATTATCTTGAAATTATTTACATAAATGATATATAATTTTATCTTTCATCTAGATAAATTTAAATTTAAATCGTCTTAAAATTTAATCTCTATCTTATCTAAGATAAAGATAATTTAAATATAATTTATCTTAGCTTTATCTAGATGACTTTAAGTTATTCAAGTGCAACATCGATTACATGTTATTTTCTGTATGTCAATTAATTAACATGTAGTATCGTGAATTTTCTCATTTGAAGTTTTGCTGTTTTCTCCTCACACACGGAAATTGATGTTTGATGTATAGTTACATTAAAAAGCTATATTCTATTTCATTTTAATATTGATTTCAGGCGATCTACAAGATGGTGGGCTCCGTGATGAAAATGCCTGAAGACGAGTCAACGCCGGAGAAACGAACTGATAAGATATTCCGACAAATGGATAAGAACAAGGACGGCAAGCTATCGCTTGACGAATTTATAGAGGGTGCGAAGAGCGACCCGTCTATTGTGCGACTGTTGCAGTGCGATCCTAGTGCACAAGCTCAGTGAGGCCCTGGGCCAATACAGACAAATATCGATATGCCATCAGCATACCCAAATCGGTTCCCGGTCCAATTAGTATCCTAAGTAGAAGCGACGCGATCGTAGAAAGTTGTCCGCCGAATTGGACGGTGATTCGGGGAAGCTACCGAAACATTATCTTCGCACGTTTGATCGTTTTGAATTTTTAATGTAATAATATTCCTTAGTTAGTCCTTAGAGAACTGTAGGTTAAGTAACTTATTCGTTAACAATTCCCAAAATAAGTTATGAAAATGATTTTGTCCTATCAGCGATTTTTATTTGGAAACTAGGGATGTTAATGCGCAGAATATGATCGTTAGGTAAAAATTATGTACGCATTTTGGCAATAGATTACATTTGATTCGAGGAACGATAGGGATATGTGATATTAGAAAGAGAAAGATACAAGTTATTATATAATTTGTCTTAATATTAATCTTTATTTTATTATTATATCGATGAGAAGAAAAAAAGAGATTAGTTGTTGCAAATATAGTTGCTCGAGGATATCGTCTTGGCGGTTTCTCTCTTTAAGTATTCTACGATCGCTCGCGCAGGCTTACGCGCAAACAGAGATGTGTAAGAGCTCGTATAAATTGGACTGGTACCCGAGAGGTCCAGGGTCACTGGGCCCATGGCGCTTGCGCATACCGCAAGCTAGTCGACAAGACTAGTCCAGTCGCTCCGTTTCATTGACGGATCGGTTTAGCGAAAAGCTTGTTACGCCTTTCGGGTCATATTAGAAAGCGCCAAGCGATGACGCCATCCATGAAAGAGAGGACATTGCGTTGATGCCGCCGATGCATCTTGAGAGGGCGGAGGGAGGGGAAGAGGTAGACTGTATAGATTCGGTTGAGCCGACTGTTTGAGAGATGTCGCGAGGAGATGAGATTAGCGAAATTCTAAAATATTCTCTGTGTTCGTAATATCCGTGATTTTTCGGCAGCGTGCACGGCAAACAAGAGCCTTGACGAGCGACGACGTTCGAATTCCGTTATTCTCTCTGTCGCTCTTTCTCTCTCTTCCTTTGAGTTAACGAGAGTGTGCGGAACCGCGAACCGCGTCACGCGTCACAGCGGGATCCTTGTATATACTTTAGCGAAATCGTTATTAGTGCGGCATCGACGCACGATCCTCGGACTGCCGATCTCAACACGCGGAGGCTCTCGCTCCTCGACCGTGCGGAGTGGCCATCATTGTTCTTGCGCACCGTATCGCCGCCCGTCTCGTTTGGTATCCGATACCCAGTTCGGGAACGGGGAGAGATGCCATCCCCTTCGGGGAGGGGGGACTCACTTCTCTCTGCGGTATCGCATCCCTCACCCTTACGGACCCCGAGTGTCTCGCCTCTCGGCCCACCACATTAAAACGGACTGACCCATTTAACGGAAAAGACTCACAGGAGACTAACAGCCGCGTTGGCGGTCGTTCCACCACGCGCTAGCAACGAAAAACTTAGTGATTTAGAGATCCGTGAGATTTTAGGCAAAGGTCACTGCGAAATCGCGAAATCGTACACCCGCAAAACGCGGCGCTTTGCTAGTTAAATTGCGCTTAGAGACCGATCTAGAGCTTTGACCTGGTAGAAGGAAAGAAAGAGTACGCTACACACACACACACACACACAC